AGTCCCAGAGGCTGAGCCTCAGACCGTGTCCCTGCTTGTCCCTCCTGATATAACCTGTGCCTTCCTAGCCCTGACCCACTGAGCCCTACCTGATACACTACCAGATCCACTGTGGAATCCCGTCCACCCAGCCCTCGGATGCACTGTGTGCTTGTCCTGCCCACAGAAGCTGAGATTCTTCCCAACGAAACCAGCAGTCACCTCGCAGATGGGCTCCACCTGGTCAGCAAACGCACGTCTGTTGACTATACTTGCATTCCACACTCGCGGCCCTGGCATGCTGCACTCTTTCACGATGAGGATGGATTCTGCTCGGGAGTTCTGGTGCACCCGCAGTGGGTTCTGTCAGCGGCACACTGCTGGCAGAAGTGAGCAAGCTCCGTATGGGTGACAGTGGGGGTAATGCGGAGAGGGCTGGACCAGGATGACTGGGCTTGTCTTGGGTAGGGCACTGTGGGCAGGGTGCCGTGGATGGGGGTGAGGGTCAGACATTGCACAGCAGTGAGGTCCAGGATCCAGGCTGGGTTTGAGCAGAGAATGCCCAGTCTTGGCCCAGGGTGAGGTTCAACCACTGCAAAGGGGCTGTGACAGGGAATGAACCCCAGTCCAAGAGGCGGGACTTGTCTATGGCTGAGACTTTAAAACACTAGGCCTGGAGCAAGGCTGGAGCTACAAGCAAAAGGGAGGCTTGGCTGGGAGATCCACTTCCCCAGGCTGGAGGAACATTCACATCTGTTTGCTGGGTCTGAAGAATTCCCCATGTGGGAAGAGAAACCACACAGGAACCTGAGTTTTACCTCAGTACGAAAGTTCAGAGGTGAAGGTGGGTTGAGAGAGGCAGGCTTGGATCTCGGTTCAGCCTAGGTGGTGTGGACAAGGGACCTCTTGTCATCTGGTGCAAGGGGCCTGGGTAAGGCGAGAGAGACAGGTGAAGACAGAGCCAGGTGAATGGGGACCGAGGTATGCACATGACTGCAGGGCAGGGTGTAGGGAGAGATGAGGCTAAAGCTGACCAACCAGCAGAAACATCTCAATGTGCTGTTTTAAACAAATTAATACTAACGTAGAGAATCACTAGCCCAACCCCCTACAGGAAAAGCCTCTGTTCCGTATCATGCCCGCTTGCTACATGACTCGCTTCCCCATTTGATCCCAGTTTACTCAATTTTTCCTGAAGAATTATACTTGCAATCTTATTGGCTGACCATAGTTTTGTCCCACCTAATGCGCACCTTGTAATTTCCCTTTCCTCCTATCTTGGACCCACCTCACCTCGTGGTTTTGCTCTTGAAGGTTCTTGGGAAGAAGGTCCTTGGCAACCCACTCGGGCCCCCTTCCGTCCTTCTTTTGGACAGAAGCTTTCTTTCTTTCAATAAACATATTCTGCTTTTAAAGTGATGATCAAAATATCCAGATTGGAAATAAACAGGATCCTGCGCATGTGGGGCCATGGTGAGGTGCACCTCAAATGCGGTCTTCCTTTCAATTTCCGATATTTTGTGCATCATGGACCTTTTGCATTAATTTTGAATTTAAAATATGACACTGAACTATTATTCATCTTGCTTTTTCTGCATTATTGGCTCTCTAAGTTTACACCTTAGACAAATGCTTCTCTTGCAGCAGCACTAATGTCGGGATCTGGGGTGAAGTTGGGAGTGAGGATTGGGATGGGATCTGGACGCTGTCATGTGGGGATGAGGCTGGCACCAGGGATGGGTCTGGGCGGGGTGTCGGGTGGAAACGGCAGTGGGGATGGGACTGAGGTGGAGGATGAGTTGGGGGATGAGGCTAGGATTTGGCCTGCACTGGAGTTTAAGCTTGAAGAAAGGATTTGTTACTGTGGTACTGACTTTCATCACCCTCAGATACTACACCATTGGTCTGGGCCTGCACAGACTTTACGAACGCAATGAACCAGGCAGCCAGATGATTAAGGCCAGTTTCTCCGTGCAGCACCCAAAATATGTCACAGCTTGGAAAGGCTATGACCTCATGCTCATCAAGTTGAGCAAACCAGTTGTGGAATCAGACACCATCCGGACTATCAGCATTAGCTCCAAATGTCCGAAAACTGGAACGAGGTGCTTGGTCTCTGGCTGGGGTCAACTGTACAATGGTGAGTTCTGGTGTTCCTGTCTCTGGACTCACTGATACCTGTGCTGTCTCTGCCCAGGAGTGCTTCTGACTCTCTGTCCTTTTTCTCAGGCAAGTACTCTCAGATTCTGCAGTGTTTGGACATTCCAGTGCTATCAGCGCAGTCCTGCAGAAAAGTGTTTGACTCAAACTACCACTACAGCATGTTCTGTGCTGGTGGTGAGGGCGAGAAGCACGCTTGCCTGGTAGGAGACTGGGACAGGGCGGCAGGGGTTCAAGATGGTGATGGGGTTTAAAACCCACTGGGGGCACAAGGTCATGCAGGAAAGAGGGAGACTCAGAGGGCCATGAGGAGATGCAGGTGCAAAGAGAAAGAGAGAGAAAAAAAACTGGAAGGGTGAGAAGGAAACAAGGAGACAGTGTAAGCCAGCCACAGAGAAGGGCCAGGAGAGCCAGGGAGAAGTAAGCAATCAGCAGAGAGATGCAGAGTCATGACGGTGTGAGGAGGGATGTAGAGATTCCCAGGAGGGTCCGGGGAGAAGGAACACAGCTGTAAGAACAGACCGGTTGACTGCATTCAGGATCCTGAGCCCCACTGCCAAGCACACCTCCATCCTCAATTTCAAGTGTTCTTGATCCCCGAAGTCCATGCCCACTCTCACCCTCCAATTCAAACTCAACCAAACTGGAAAAGGAGATGCAGGCGGGAGGTGAAACTCCTCAGGGGACCTTTCCAAGGCCTGCGAGGGAGAGTTGGTGTTTGAGAAGCAGGACCGTCCCTGCCTGCCTACAAGCTATGGCTTAGTGCTTGGCTTTTTCATGACATATCCCTCCATTTTGGCCTTTGGGTCTCTGTGTCTTCACTGTGCTAGGGCCACACCAGGGTCTCAGTTTGTCTCCCCATCAACACTGTCTCCTGTACCCCATGTGTCTCTGGGGCCTGCTGACTCTGTCTCTGCTGCTTCTGTCTCCAGCTCTCACTGCTGCCCTCCAGCTCCTGTACTATGTGTTTCTGCCCTGCTGTCTCACTCTGTCTTTGCCTCTTCGTGCTTTTGGCTTCCTATGTGTGTCTCCCCCCATCCTCCTCTCCACCTGCCGTAACTTGCTCTTCTCTTCCCTCAACAGTCAGACTCTGGAGGCCCTGTGATCTGCAATGGGCACCTGAAGGGCCTTGTGTCCTGGGACATCCGTTCTTGTGGCAAACGTGGAGTTCCAGGCATCTATACCAACCTCTGTAAATTCAAACGGTGGATAAGGAAAATTATCCGGACCAGATAACCACGGATAATGTTGGGACCATGAAGCCAACACTGCCTTCTGAACCTATCTTTAGGCTCCATCTGTCATAAGCAGCTATTGGACTTCATTGAATAATTTTACCAATATATTCAGTTTATATATGCCTTCCTCATTTTATTTTAGTAAGATTGAAAGTAGAGATTTCAATTGCAAAAAAGTGTTACTGATTTTAAGATGTTGTGACATCCTTGTTTGCTTGGGACACCTGCTACATGGTAGGGATACCAGTGTACTTGCCCCTAATTACCATGGGGAACAGCTGTCAGCGACAAGTTCAATGCTTGAAGTTGTGGAGTTGAGAATGGCTGCAATGATGCTTCAAGGACCAGGGCAATGGATCATATGCCTCTCACTCCCAAACTCAGCTAAACAAGTGAGAATCTAGGGGTGAACCACTCACAGGCAGTTACAGAGGATGAGGAAGCTGAAGGTAGTACAGGGATAGACATGACCTGCAGGCATAACTGTGTTAGATCAGAGGAATAGAGGCATGAGGAAAAGGAGGACAGATGGGACAAGTTGTGCCAGAGGGCACAGAACTGATGAAAAAGTAGAACCAAAAACTTTAAAGAATAATAACTATCTTCACAAAGATGTGTTAGGCAAGTACCAACAGAGGAAGGGCATGCAGTATGTGCAATGAAACATTCAGGGTTAGTGAATATAAAACTATGTTAATTTATAAAAGAGTAAAATGGGTTAAAAACAGAAATAATGCAGCCAAAATACAAACTAGTATGCTGATAATAAAGCAGAGATGGCAGAGAATAGAGAGAAGATGGACAAGCAAATTAGGGTAGGAGGAGACAAAGGGAAAGAAGGTGAAAAATTACACACACACACACAAACATAAACACAGGTCTAAATTCCACAAAACAAATGCAATTATTTCTATTGCAAACATATACCAATAAAAATTAGTGAGCTAAAAAAGTGGTTGAGAAAGAGACAGATGTCAAAGACTTAAAACTATGCAAAATAAAAAGGGTAAGATTTCCCAGCACAAATGACTACACATTAGAATGGCACATATTCACAGTTGCCCAGGCATCTGTGCACACACATGTGCATACTCATACATCAACTTCTGCACTGTCAAACAGCAGAATCCACGTTCTTGGCTGTAGGAAATGGAGCTGGGGCATCTTTGTGGCCTTGTGCTGAGTAAGGAAAGATAATACATTTGGAGATTCTGACGCAAACAGTGCCCATACTTTCCTTTCTCCTCCCTTTGCTCCCTAGGAAGCCACAGAGCAGGATGAGCTGTGGGACAGAATGCTCATTTCCGGGCCTGCAGGGACAGAGATGTGAGACAAAACGTTTGACAGCAGGGTGGAAAGGGAGGCAGGAGGAACATTCCAGCCGTGTTGGAAAAGTGCGGGCCAAGGATGGAGTAGGGGAACCCAGCTAGTGAGGGAGGCAGAGGGACAGGGAGACAGACAGATGCACCAGCAGACACATAGACACCCTGCACAGAGTATGGCCGAGTTCAGCAAAGAGGAACCGAGAGGGGAAGCAACCAAGGCAGGGAGAGTGAGGAGTGAGGCAGAGCTCAGTGGGGGAGGCTGAGGCCTCAGGCTGGGGTGGGACACATGGTACATGGGAGTCGCAGACCTCACCTCCGGAGGGCTTGGGCATCCTCAGGAAGATGTCCAGCGTGGCTTTTCCACAGTGGGATAGAGGACACAGTGGCAGGGTACTAGAGTGCAGCAGGCTACCATCCAGACTCCCTGAGGTAGCCATGCAGAGCTTATAAAGGTGCCCAGTGCTGGAGCAGTGAGAGAAAGGAGAAGCCCCTGCCTCTCCCCTTTCTACCCTCATGCCCAAAGAAGGGTGTGACTAACAGCTGTCCTGCCACACCCCCTTGGTTCCCTTTGCTCCACCTTGGTCCCCCTGGGTGCACGGAAACATCCTGCCGCCATGTCCTGCTGTCAACTCTATGGTTACTTCACACCTGCTCTCTGGGATAACCTGACATGAGGTGCCAGTTGGTTGTCACCCACAGTGCCACTCTCCCACTCCCACCTCCCCAGATGCTGCTGCCACCTCAGAAGAAGTGGCCAGGAAACCTGTGGAAGGGATCAGGAAGGGCTCAGGCCCATTATCCCTGGTCCTCAATAAGTTGAGGACACAGCTAGCCCTCCTGCATGTTGAACAGTATTGGCCTGGCCATTCTTGTGGAGACATGGCAGCTGTCAATCCAGCTGCAGCATCTCCCTGTGGTGTACACTGGAACGGCCACCATGATAGCTGCAATGACTGTTGATGCCCTTCACCAGTCCAGCAGGTATCTACTCTGACCTCTTAGGCTTGATATTAAACTTAGCAGTAAAACTGAATTGGGACCAATACCTGTTCTCAGATCAGGGACTTGAATGAGGGCCAATTTGGAGCAATTAAGCAGCTCAAATTTGGACCAATCACTGGCCTCACTTTGCACAAACTGGCAGGCTTGAATTCACAGCACTTAGCTGGATCAAATCTGGGCCAATCATACCCCTCAACTTGAACCAATCAGGATGCCCAGATTTGGACCAATCACAGACCTGCTGCAGCTATTTAAGTAGCCCTGGGCTCTGGGCAACAGCCTCCTAATGCTTGCTTGCATGGCAAATAACTGTTGTAGGAAAATTGCACATTCATACAGCAATACATGATGCTGGGCTGCTGCTTGATACTACCTGCAGGATTCAAGTGCAAAGAAGACCTGAATATGAGAGGCAAGAAGTGGAGACATTTAGGATGGAACCTAGGGTATCAGTTTGGAATAATGAAGATATGAGTCTCCATTGCCATCATTTGGGAATAATGAAGATACTAGTCTCCATTGCCCAGAAATTGCACTCCTGAGTATATAAGAAAATAAAGTAACTTATATGCCATATACATGATGTATGTGCTATAAGGCTTAGCCTACATAGAATATATACATGTAATGTTCATGGGAGTCTTTTTCATAGTAACACTGAAATGACCCCACAGACCAAACCAGGAAATTAGATTAATAATTGTGACATCATCATACAATGGAATATTCAGGAACATCTATGAAAAGGAATGGAACACTGAACACAGATCAACTTTGAACACATGGTGTTAAGTGAAAAAATTCAGCCATGAAAAGTCACATGTTGTAGATTCCATTGATATGGACTATGCAGAATGGCAAGTCCATGGGGACAGCAGATTCATGATTTCCTAGCACTGGGAGGACGGGAGAATAGGGTGTGACTACTGACCTGAATGGGGTTTCCTTTAGGGATGACTAAACTGTCGTGAAATGAATAATGACGATGGTTGTACCATATTGAGAACATAATAAACACAACTGATGGTAACTACTATAGTATGTATGTTATGACAATTTTTAACAGAATGAGGCTATAGAAGATTGAAATAACAGTATTAACATATCCACATAACTTCTATACATATAAATGTACAACCAACCAATACAGATGCTATCATAAACAATGTTCACATCTCTGTGACAGGTGTAGGTGGCATCAAGATGAAGGCATGTCCACAGCTTTGCTATCTCTCTGAGGGTGTTCTGATCTCATCATGTGGACCCCACGAGCATCCCCAATCTCTTGTTTAGTGTTAGATTTTCCAGATGTGCCCTACAGTGTGCAGTCAAGGGGCTGGATTTTTTGAGGCTGCAGCTTGGAGCCCAGATTGGGGCATCAGGAACCTAAGCCCTGAGGCTCTGAGCCTGGGGTTCCAAGTCTCAAGTTGATCCAAATACCCTGAGTCTGGAGTCTGGGACCTGAATGGAGAATTTACAGTGTAGGTTCTAGGTCATGCAACCTTATGTCTAGGAAATACTCTCACAATTGGTCTGGTAAAAGACAGGGGAAATTTGCAAGGAGCATCAAGTTCAAAAGCTCAGACAAGGTGGGAGATTAGACAGGAGAGAGCATCTGTCCAGGGAACTGGTGCTGCCACCAGGAAGATGAGACTTGGGGCAGAGTGAAGGTAGCATGGGACAGCCTGGGACACCTGTGTGGAGCTGGCCTGGGGCACCCTGGGAAGGGGTAGTTGTACTTTCAGGAAAAAATAAGAAGCGCATATATTCTGGAGGAAGTCCTTTACTATCTTGATACAGATGTTGACACTGCCAGAAAGCCAAAACTGAGTGGATGCAGGAGCAGGAAAAACATCAGGGCTTCATGAGAACAAATAATCAGCAGATTTAGGGCTTTAAGAATGGTCAAGAGTAGAACTGTTGTATGCAGAATAGGGCATAGCTAAGGTGGGTATTTCTTAGAGACAGAAAACAGATGTAAAGGATTTATCACACATACACAGTTGTGTCATTTTGTGTGCATTGAGATTTGCATGACCAGAATGAGAGAAAAAGAGAGACTTAGAGGACTGTAAACAAATTTGACTTTGAATTCACAAGATGCTTTCAGGAATGAAAAGAAAATCAAGATGACAGGGAAAATATTATTTTTAATATCCTTGTAAAAATGTGAAAAACATCTTTGTGAAAAATATCCTTGTAAAAATATTATTTAAGCTCTAAAAAAGTAAGAAGACATTACACAAAGCTAAAGAGAATATCAGTGAAATGTAAGAGGGGCCATTAGAAATTTTCACTGACACAGAGAGAGGGAGGGAGGGAGAGAGAGAGAGAGAGACAGAGAGAGAGAGAGAGAGAGAGAGAGAGAGAGAGAGAGAGAGAGAGAGAGATTGAGGCATTTGTGCAGATACTTGGGAAACAGAGAGACATGGACACCCAGAGACCGGGGACAAATATACCCCTCAGCCCTTAATCTGTGACTCATCAAAAGCGTGATCAATGTTTTCTTCAGGGACAGTTGAGGACTTCAAAGTGGATTTTATTAAAATGGATGACTCCTCACTCGGGCCTCCAGAAGCGCAATGGGTACCTAAAAGGAGGACAAAACTTGACCTTCATTTTGAAAAGCTCTGAGTCATGCCCTTCTCACCTGTGCATGAAAGCACGTCCCTCAGTCAAGTCATATCTGTTGAAAAGTTGACACAACAAGATTTTTAAACTTACCCAGTTTAACTCACAGCGCTTGAAGGTCTAGGACATCAGGATAAGACATTTTCCAGAATGTCAACAATGCTGAGAAAGTCTCCAGGCCCCTAAAGTTAAGGTCGCCTTGGTTAACAGCCTCCTCTGACTGGGACCACCCCAAGAGAAGGCAGTAATCCCATGCAAACCAAACTGTCCCTCAGATAACGAGACTTCAACCCAACTGAAGAAGCCACAATTGAGATCAGGATCAGCAGGATCCCAACCCATAGCACCCCCATGTGCCAGGATGACCTGCTCTTCAGATCCGAAGCCACTACCCTTTCTCCTGTGGAAGCCTCTGCTCTGGCTTCTCCTACTCTCCTTTATCAGAGGACCCATTTGATGTTTGTCAGTGCCCTGACCATCTTCTCTCACCCATAACTTAAGCCCTTGCCTGTACAATCATGCTATTGTTTTAGTTCTATTTCCATCATCACCAGAGCAAGGACCCACACCAGCAGGTTCCAAGGGGTGCAGCAAACAGCCCTGCAAAAGGAAGGTCCAGAAAGGAAAATGGAGTTGAGATCCAGGGTAAAACTGTAGGGATATGGGACCACAGGGGCCTAATGTATGTGGAGTATGATAATAAAGGGCCTGGACTACACATATAATAAACCATGGGATCCCAACACAAACAGAAGATATTAAACAAAAAAATAAGAAAAAAAATTTCCTTATCTCCTCACAGTTTGCACATAAGGCTGGTCCTGTCATCTCATGCTGTCTCCTTATCTCTAAAGCAAGTCCCCACACAGAGCAGTGACAACAGGAGCATATTTGAACAATGAGGAGACTGTCACGGAGCATAGAAAGATGGGTCATGGGGAGAACCCCGACCCTTCCCTGTCCTCTAAGGGGGAGGACAGGGCTGCAGATGGAGTCAGGAGCCAGTTGGGCCTAAGTGATGGGGCCTCAGACAACACTTGGGGTCCCCAGGGGAGCAAAGGCCCGGTCCAGTTCTGCAAAGACAGCAGGCCCAGCCTGTGCAGGCCCTGCTGACCCTCCTGTCCTTGGCCTGGACCTCGTCACTGGGCTCTCAGCTGCAACTTTTCACCTGCTCTTTAATAAATAATACACCAGAAAGCGCCAGGGTCTCCCCATGGTCTATGAGCCAGGCTAACAGATGCCTGGGCCTGGGATGGGGAAACAGATGATGGCTGGTGGGTCAGAAGGACAGGTGACAATGGGGGCTTGTGATCGGCCTGCCAGGATGAACCGGTGTTGAGGCCCTGAGCCCTCAGCCTGCGGGACCCGGGTCACATCCTTCACAGCTCAGTCCGCTTCCAACTCTGCACAGCTGGGGCTGAGTTGAGCTGAATGGAACTGAGGAGGGGCCGGCAGGTGTGCAAGATGTGGCTGCCACTGGGAGCCCTGCACACTTGCACGTGGTTTTAGAGGAGAAAGAAAATGACCAAGGGAGACATCAGGCAAAAGGAATAGCTAGCTTGCAAGCTGAGGTAGGTACAAACCTGCCTGCGATGTTCAAAAATTTGGAATTTGGTGTGGCAGAAATTGGGGTAGGGTGTGCCACACCAGGCCTGGTACATGCCTAGGACAGAAAAATAAACTGCCTGTGGTGTTGCAGGCCTGAAAGCCCTGCTTTCTGGGAAGCTGAGGCAGGAGGATCTCAAGTTTGAGCCCACCATGAGCAACTTGAGGAAGTAATGTGACTCTGCCTCAAAATAAAATTTTAAAAAGATGCTTTGGGATGGAGCTCAGTGAGACAATGCTGGAGTGAATCCCCAGGACCACACACACAGAGACACAGATTGTCTTTATTTCATGTACATTTTCTTAAGTTAATATAGATTTAATATACAGGAGAGTTTCAAAAGCAAGGAATTCAAAACAGAAAGTCCGTGTGACAAGAGGCTGATGTTAGCAAAGAGCAGTGCGTTGGAGGCATCAGAATTGAGAGACAGAGAGGATGAGAGATTGGCCAGAGGCAGTCACGTCTTTCATGGTCCGACACCCACTCCTCTCCTACCTCACAGCCCAGAGCCCTGCTCCCTGTGCCCTGATCTGATTAAAAGCAGGACAGGCAGGGGCACTGTGCCCAGGACTCTAATCTTTCAGCCTTGAGTCTCTAATGTTCCAGCAGCCTCAGGGCAGGCCAGCCCCCGTCCCGATCCTTATAAGACTGACCAAGGCTCTGAGAGTCAGCAGCCCACGGATCACAGCCCCACACGGGACAGCCGAGCCCTGAACCACAGGAGCTGAAGCCAGGTGAACAACCCTGCGTTCTCCCAGCACAAGGCTTGCTCTGTGCTTCCCACCCTTTGAGTTCCTGCCTCTTTCTTGTCTCTGTCCTGCTGGGTGTGTGTCTCCCTCTCTGCCTTAGTCCATCGCTTTGACTCAGTGTACAGTGAAGGCTTTGAGATCCTCCTGCCTCCAGAGCACTGGGATTACAGGCGGTGCCACCGTGCCCAGTCCCAGGGAGGTTTTAAGACACAGACTCTAGTGCCCTCTCCACTTGGTACTCAGCCTGTCTGTGTCTGTACCCTCCTTGGAATGGGGATCATATCAGGACCTGGCACCTGAGATGGCTGTGACAGTGAGTCACCGCATGTCTCCTGTTAGTGCAATGCCTGGCACAGGGCTGAGCCTGAAACTGCACTGAGAACACCTCTATTTCCGTCTCAGTTTCCTTCAGCTTCATGACCCTGAGACATCTGTGTCTGGGCCCCATCTTCCCTGCTCCAGGGTTCAGCCTCAGTCTTGGCGTCTCTGTCTCTGTCCCTAACTGCCCCTCGATCCTCAGTCTCCCTGCCTCCTCTGTCCTCAGAGGCAGAGCTCACACTGTCTTCTCCCAGGATGTGGATGAAGAATGGGCCTTTTGGTTGTCCCTACTGGGGAGGTGGACAGCAGCTAGCATAGGGTGTAAAACACCCTGCAGTACACAGGGCAGGGCACTGCAAAAAGGCTCACCAGTCACCAGTCATCAGTGGGCAGGGGGAGGCCTCATTAGCATTTGGGGCACTGGTGGGTGTCCTGGGTCCATCCCCAGCAGATCATGGATAACTATCAGCAAGGCAGAGAGTGAGACACTCTGTCCTATCTTACGGTTCCGTGGCGAGGATCTAGAGTCCAGGCTGGACAGGATCCTTTGTAACTGTTCCTGGAATGGTGAGGAAGGCCCCAGAGTCACCAGGTCTCCTCCCACACAGGTGCTGACATGGGGGCCGCAGCAGAAGTCCTCTGGCTCTGTTTCCTGGGATGCATCATCCACCCAGCTGCAGGTATCTGAGCTCAGGGTGCGTGCTAGCCTCTGCGCACCCAAAATGGGTCATCCTGCCCTGCCCATATGCCCCCTGGGGTTCAGCATGGCACCAGGGTAGAAACAGCTTGTGGAGAGGCACAGGCAGACTGGATTCAGAGCCCAGCTCTTCTACTTCTTACCTGGGAAAACCCCTAATGTCTCTGTGCCCAGTTTCCCCACCTCCCATGGTAATCAGAAGGCAGGTTACATCATATAGTGCAAATCCACGTCTTCCTCAGACTCTGGCCCATAGAGGAGTGTCCAGTGTTAGTTGTAATTCACACAGGGACAGCAGTGTGCATGGACCTCCTACCCCAGCTGGCAGAGAAGTGTGGCAGCTGCTTCCTTCCCTGTGGAGGTCGCTGCTCCTGAGCCCCTGGAGAATCTGCCCTGAAGAAGGCGGGAGTCCCGGCAGTATAAGAAGTGCTCCCCAAGGGACTGTTCTCTGTGCCCCACTGTCCACTCTGCATGTCCAGCACACAGAATCCCAGGTGTGGTTGTCTCTGTCCTCTGCTTGATACAGAGGCTCCTCCTGGGGAAGGAGGCGTGTGTTGTGACACTAGGTCTATGCCACTGGAGTGGTGGAGCAGAGTGTGAAGCTTCAGGCCCAGAGGACAGTTCTGGCCTTGGATCTGTCATGCTTGAGCCCCAGAAGCAGAGCTTCTGACCTTGTCCCTGCGTGGCCCTCCTGATATAACCTGTGCCTTCCTAAACCTGACCCACCCATCCCTACTGGATCCACTACCGGATCCCATCCACCCACCTACTGGATCCACTCTGTGCTCATCCTGCCTGCAGAAGCTGAGATTCCTTCTAAAGGAACTGGCAGTGGCTTCCCAGGTGTGCTCCCAGTGTTCATCGAACGCATCTCTGGTGGCTTTCCTTGCGTTCCACACTCCCATCCCTGGATAGCCGCACTGTTCGAAAATGATGATTCATACTGTGCTGGAGTTCTGGTGCATCCGCAGTGGGTGCTGTCAGCTGCTCACTGCTGGAACACGTGAGTAGATGCAGTAGGGGTGACTGTGAAGGGGTGTGGGAGACAGTGCGCTGGACTGGGAGGGGTGCGGCATGGCTTCTTTGGGCGGGACATTGTAGACAGGGTTTCGGCTCTGACATTGCCCCTCAGTGAGCAGCACATCCCAGGCTCGGTTTCAGCAGAAAGGGCTGAGTCCTGACCCATGGCGCTGTTCCAACACTGCGAAGAGGCTGGGCCAGTTAGTGAGCTCCAGCCCCAGAGGCTGCATATGACCAGGGCTAAGACTTTGAAACACTAGGCCTGGAGTAAGGCTGGAGCAACCTTCAATGGGGAGGCCTGGCTGGGAGATTCACTTCCCCAAGCTGGAGAAACATTCACATCTCTTTGCTGGGTCTGAAGGATCCCCCATGTGGGAAGAGAAACCATGCAGGACCCTGAGGTTGATCCGAGTATGAAAGTGCAGAGGAGGAGATGGATCTCAGGTCCTCCTCCAGGAGCCAGGTGGTGTGAATAAAGGACTTCTTGTCAGCAGGTGTAAGGGGCCTGGGGCAAGGCGAGGAGACAGGTGAAGACAGAGCCAGGTGGATGGGGACTGAGGTATGGATGTGGCTGCAGGGGAGGGTATAGGGAGAGATGAGGCAAAAGCTCATGCATCTGGAGAAATATCTTCATGTCTTATTCCAAACATATTAATACAATGCAAACATGTGTGATGATCAAAATATCCACATTTGAAATGAACAGGATCCTGCGGGTGTGGGGCCAGGGCGAGGGCAAGGTGCACCTCAAATGCTGCCTTCCCTTCAACTTCCGATATGTTGTGCATCATGGACTTTTTGCATTAATTTTATTCATCTTGCTTTTTCTACATTAGTGGCTCCCTCAGTTAACACCTTAGACAACACCTCCCAAATAGGAAATGGGCTATTTGGAGGTGGGCAGTAGGATAGGATTTGGGCGCTGTCCAAGTGGGGATGACGCTGGCACCAGGCATGGGTCTGGATGGGTGGAGGGTGGGAATGGCAGTGGGGCTGGGGCTGAGATTGAGCATGAGCTGGGGTGAGGATAGGATGGGATTTAGGCCTGCACTGGAGTTTGGGCTTCTGGAGAGGATGTAGTTATTATGGTACTGACTATCCCGTCTCCCTCAGATCCTACACCATTGGGCTGGGCCTCCATGGACTTTTTGAATGGGATGAACCAGGAAGCCAGATCATCCAGGCCAATTTCTCAGTGCAGCACCCAGAATACATCAGACCTTCGAACGGTAGTGACCTCATGCTCATCAAGTTAAACAGACCCGTTGTGGAATCGGACACCATCCGGACCATCCCCATTGCATCCGAATGTCCGACAGCTGGAACCAGGTGCCGGATCTCTGGCTGGGGTCGGCTATTGGATGGTGAGTTTTGGAGTTCCTGTCTCTGAACTCACTGACACCTGTGGTGTCCCTGTGCAGGAGTGTTGTTGACACGGTGTCCTTTCTCTCAGGATACTACCCTTTAGATCTGCAGTGTGCGGTTATTCCAGTGGTTTCAGAGGAGTATTGCAGATTTGTGCTTGACTCATACTACCACGACAGTATGTTCTGTGCTGGTGCTCAAGGCCATAAGGACTCTTGCCCGGTAAGAGGCAAGGACAGGGAAGCAGGAGTTTAGCATGGAGGTGGGGTTTAAAACCCACAGGGGGCACAAGGTCATGCAGGAATGAGCGAGACTCAGAGGGTCATGGGGAGATGCAGGTGCAAAGAGAAACAGAGAGAAGAAACTGGGAGGTGAGAAGGACACAAGGAGACACAGGGTAAAGCAGCCACAGAAATAGGCAAAGAGAGCCAGGGAGAAGTAAGGAGCCGGCAGAGAGACGCAGTCATGATGTTGAGAGGAGGGGTGGAGAGACTCCCAGGAGGGATATCAGGAGGGTCTGGGGAGAAGGAACACAGCTATAAGAACAGACCGGTTGACTGCATTCAGGATCCCCAGCCCCACTGCCTCACACACCTCCATCCTCAACTCCAAGGGCTTCTGAGTCCCCAACTCCACGCCCAGTCTCACCTTCCAGTTGAAACTCAGGCAAGGCTTGAAAAGGAGATGCAGGCGGGGGTGGAGCTCCTCAGGGGAACTTTCCAAGGGGTGGGAGGGTGAGTTGGTATTTGAGAGGCAGGACTGTCCCTGCCTGCCTACAAGCTATGGTTTGAGTGTTTGGCTTTTTAATGGCAGATCCCTCCATTTTGGCCCTTGGGTGTGTGTGTTCACTGTCTTGGGGCCTCATCAGGGTCTCAGTTGGTGTCCCCATCACCTCTGCCTCCTGTACCCCATGTGTCTCTGGGTCCTGCTGGCTCTGTCTCCCCTGCTTGTGTCTCCAGCTCTCACTGCTGCCCTCCTGCTCTTGCACTGTGTGTTTCTGCCCTGACCTCTCCCTCTGCCTTTGGCTCTTTGTGCTTCTGGCTTCCTGTGTTTGTCTACATCCAACTTCCTCCACCCACCCTAACTTGCTTTTCTCTTCACTCAAAGGCAGACTCTGGAGGCCCCGTGGTCTGCAATGGGGTCCTGCAGGGCCTTGTGTCCTGGGGATTCCAACCCTGTGGCACACCTGGAGTTCCAGGTTTCTACACCAACCTCTGCAAATTCAAAGACTGGATAAATGAAATCATCAAGACCAGATAATCACAAATGATATTGGGACTGAGTAGCCAGCACCGCCTTCTGAATCTGTCCTTAGGTTCCACCTATCATAAACAGCTACCTGATTTGACTCAATTTGCTTTACAAATATATTGAGACAAAAAGTGCATCCTTTCTTATTGAATTTTATGAAGACTGAAAGTGGAGTTGTCAAGTATCAAATGGTGTTACTGGTTTGAAGAAGTTATGACATCCTTGTGATCCTGGGACATCTGCTACATGGTGGGGATACCAATGTACGTGCCCCTCATTACCATGGCAAACAGCTGCCCAGGGACAAGTTCTGTGGCTGAAGCTGTGGAATTCAGAATGGCTGCAATGATGCCTCAGGGACCAGGGCAGATAGAACATGCACTTCTCACTTCCAAACTCACCTGAATAACTGAGAATCTAGGGTTGAACAAGTGGAAGGTAATTATAGTGGCTGAGGAAGCTGAAAGTAGCATGAGGCAGACATGACCTGCAGGCATAAGCTGGGTCAGATCAGAGGAATGGAGCCATGAGGAAAAGAAGGAGGGATGGGACAAGTTGTGCTAGAGGGAGGAGAACTGATGGCAAAGTAGAACCAAAAACTTGAAAGAAGTAGAACTGTCCTCACAGAGGTGTGTTAGGGAAGTACAAACAGAGCAGGGACATGCAGTATGCAAGTGAAGCATTCAGGGGTAGTGAATAGAAAAATATATCCCAAAGTGTTATTTTAAAAAAATACAATGACATAAAACACAAAAAACACAGCCAAAATATTAACTAATGAGGTGATGATAAAGGAGAGCTAATAGACAATAGGGAGGAGATGGGGAAGCAAGTGAGGGTGAGGGGAGAGCAAAGGAAAGAAGGTGAAACATTACACACACATGCACACACACACACACACGTGCCAACTCCACAAATCAAACACAATTATTTCCATTGCAAACATATAGCAA